CAGTGTCTCGTTCCCTACTCAGGGAACCATGGTTACATAAGTAACCTGAGACGTTTCTCTTCTTCAGATCCAAAGTATTGTAATGTGTTAAAAATCAGTTGTGTTAGTTTTCTATATACTGTAGCATGTTCTAGGAATATTAACCAAGCCCAACTCTGGTGAAGATAAAAGACTGGCATTGCTCAGGGTGCTACAGCCAAACACATTCTTCTGCACTGTGTCTAATTTACGGTTAATGGGTGGAGTTAGACTGATGATCAGTGGTCAAGGTTCAATTTAGACACTTCTAGTTTCTCTTCTTCAAATCATTCAGTTAGATAAAGACAGAGACTCTGGATGACAAAAACAAACTGCAAGAGACATAATGGAATCAGAACACAAAGGTTAGTGTTAATTAAATAACCTAATATGATACTCATTATATACATCTGGTTTAATATAATACTGAGAACTAATTTATGTTCTATTATATTTTTGTTTGTGGCATTGGCAGCACTAAACAGAAGTGATTCATGTTTAAAAGTCATATTACAACTTTTTAATGTAAAGCTGTTCTACTACATTTAGAAATGACGACATGTGTTTTACTACATTTCATTATACATTAGTTTTAAGAGAATCACTGCCACTGTCCTAATGCTATCACATCAAATATTTTAGAGAATTTTCTTACAGATAAAAACAAAAATCAGTTTGGTTCTGTTCCAACAGATTTGAATTCCAACCCTGATCCAACTCACTTTTTTTCAAGTTAGCTTGTTCAGGAAAGCGGCTTGACTTCCCTGATCTAAGAATTGTTTTATTGGCTGTCATTACATTGTCATTGAGTTCAAAGTTAACTGATAGCTTGCTAACGTATGCTAGTAGTTCCAAGGTTAGCTGGTGGATTAGGGCCGTCTGTCCTGTAGATGATATAGACGGTCACATAAAGGGAAGTTAGTGATGTTACATTCAGCAATGAAGTTTTGTAGATTGTGCCAAAATACAACAAAGTTCACATTGAAGCATCAGTGCTCGATTCATCAGCTTGTCTTTCTCAATACACTAAAACGTTTTTAATATCATAATTCATCACACCAGAACTAGAAAGAGGAGTGTTAAAAACATCCCCAACCTTTAATACTCAGTAAAATTATTATATTTTTATTATAACAATTAGGCATGATATAAAATATTTTTTATCTACCTGCAGTTTCTACTGTATGATCTACAGTACTTATACTGTATTATATTTGTTCATATCTTTGATTGAGTGATTAATGAAAATGTGTATGAATAAGTTGCGGAATCAACAATTTCAAATCAGTAGTTTTTTTTTTCTTTGATGAAAGCATAAACCTATACAAACCCTAACCTGTTTTAGTTTTCAACATCCCAAATTAAATCTAAGAAAAGACCACAGTATTTTTTTAGACTAATGTAATCTGAAAAACCTTCATCCGTCTTAACCTACAAATGACAATTCTGTCTTTGTCAACTTACTTGCAAGCTGCAATTTTTCATACATAAGTTTTATTTTAATGTGCTGGTACATACGGTAGGTGCCCCTTATTTTATTTATTTATTTATAGTCTTAAATTCTTGAAAAGCAAACAAGCAATAATGAATTCTTCATAATTTGCTTCTTATGAAAACATTGAAATTGAACTCTTTATTTTTATTAAATACAAATTTATGAATATATTAATATTAATACACTAACCTGATAACAAGGTTACGTCAACAAAAGTCATTTTTAAAGGTTAGATCAAGTAGGAAAGTAGAAATTGCCACGTTCTATAATGCAGCCTACTCTGATAAATTTTACTTTACCTTAGCTAGAAAGCTGTTCCTACTGTAAATAGATTACTTGTTTTACTGGGGGGGAAAATTATTGTGTGGTGTCCCTTGAACGTGGTGCCCCTGTGCACCAGGTGCCTATATGTTTAATCCACCAATGCTTTAGTGTAAAAACAGCATGCCAAATGATAGCATGAAATTGTGCATGATACACAGTGGCAGGAAACTGGGTTATTGTTGTTAATTGGGGATGAAACCGTTAGAATCACAGACACATTATAAATCAAATCATCTAGAGCTCCAGCTAATGACATGAACTGTTTGAATGCAGGTGATTCACAGGATCTGAGGATTGTGCTGCTGGGAGTCTCTGGTGCTGGAAAGAGTGCAATAGGAAATGCAATACTGGGTCGAGAGGCATTTAAAGAGAGCAGCACCAGAAAGAGTGAGTTACAGACAGGAAGAGTAAAAGACAGAAACATCTCCATCATCGACACTCCAGGATTCTTCAAACATCTCCATCATTGACACTCCAGGATTCTTCAACACTCAACTGACTGATGAAGAGATGAAGAATGAAATGGTGAGGAGTATGTATCTCTCTCATCCTGGTCCTCACGTGTTCCTGCTCGTCATGAACCTGGAAAACTTTGAGGAGGAGCAGAGGAACATTGTGGAAATGACTCAGGAGTTCTTTGGAGCTCAAGCTTTTAAGTTCACCATGGTTCTGGTCACTGGAAGAGAAAAAATGTCAAGGAGAGAATGGATGCTCTTTATACTTGATACAAAATTTAAAAGGCTGGTCAGTCACTGCAGAGATAATTATCATGCAATCAACAGTAAAAATGAGATGAATCAAACTCACATCACAGAGCTTCTGCAGAAGATTGATGAAACCATCAAACAGAATAATCACCAGCATTACAATAATGAGATTTACTCAGTGTCTCGAACAAAGAGCATAAGAATAAAGAAAAATCAAGAGGAAGAAAAGACATACAAAAGAAAAGAGACAGAAATGAAACAACAGCAAGCAAAATCAGCACCAGAGACTTTCACAACCCACAATGTAATGGAAGAGAGAACGACACACACTATCACTGAACCAGAAAATGAAAGCATAAGAGGAAAGAAAAAAGAGGAAGAAAATACATACAGCGAAACAAAGCAAAATAAAGAGAAAAGACAAGAACGAGCAAAAATAAAAGAGTTTTTTGAAATGGAAAGTACTATGGAAGAGAGATCAACACATACTGTGATTAAAAAGAAAGAGAGTTTTGTTTCTTATGTCAGACAATCAATGAGAACAACTCGCATATATGAAAACCTGGATTACAGTTCATTAGACAGATTTGAGGAATTCTCTAATGAAAGAATGAGAGGCAAAAATGTAGTCAAGACACCGGAAAAAATCTGGGGAATGAGCAAAAAGACAACGTACCAGATACTATCAGACGACGGTGAGAACTTTACACAAAACTCGAAACACACAAACCAAACGTCAAAGGTGAATTCACTAACAGTGGCACTACATTATTTAAAAAAAAAAACATCTCAGGTTACTTATGTAACCATGGTTCCCTGAATAGGGAATGAGACACTGCGTCCTCTAGGGGTCGCTATGGGGAACGCCTCGTCATGACCCGTGTCTGAAGCATACAATCAAAAAACCTTTCAAGGGAACCTTGAACTGCGTCCTCTAGTAGTCGCTATGGGGAACGGTATACCCACACCACCATGCTGAGGGGAGTGCATGCCAGAACCAAGGACGGCGAGAAGTACCAACTCTACCATATAGCTATGGGAGTGGCCCCTGGGACGTTAGAAGGCTGTCAGTGACATTATTCCCTACGGCCAAAGGCCTAGGCTACATACCCCAAAAACTTACCTGTTAGGGCCAGAACTCCTGGGCCCGGGGTAGAGCTCAAGGCTTGGAATCAGGAATAGATTCCTTTAAGGGAATAC